AGGTCCTTTGTTTTTTATTTATTTATTTTTTATTTTTTAGCGGCACCAGGGATTGAACTCAGGACCTTGCACTGGCCAGGGATGCGAATATTCCACTGAGCCATCTCCCCAGCCCTGAGATTAAGGTCCTTTGTGACCCAGGGTTTGCCACTGTGATGCCGCCCGAGTAACTTGCCCTCTTGGCCTTAATTTATTTTACAAAAGCATGCTCCCTTATGGGTTTTGCCAGTGTGAGGGCAGCAACTCCAAGGGGCACGGGCAGAGGAGGAGCCAGCTGGGTGGGGCACTTGGGTTCTGGCCGCTGTGGTGGTCGAGGAGAGGGAAACAGGCCCCAGCTGCACTGGCCCAGGGTCCCTGCCACGCATGTGCCCACTGTAGGTGGGCATCTCTTCCAGTTCTCTTTGGCCCGGAGTCTCCCAGGATTGGGGGTCGGAAGGTGGGTCCCAGAAGATAAGGAACTGCAGATTGTTTTTAAGGGGTAGAGTATTTCCCTTATGGAAGTCAGTAAGTCACTGCGTCACAGTTAATTTCACCCATTTTTTTTCAAAACATGTGGGTTTTTTTTTAAGTGTTGCAGCTTTAAATAAAAATAACGTTAGCAGAATTAAATTTGTTTTGTTCTGAAACTCCATCCAGTTGGAGACAAACAGGAGGTCACATGGAGGGGGACTATTTGTCACCCCATCTCCTTCCAGCAAGTCTGTCCCTTACCAAGACCACGCCTGTCCCGCATGCTTCGAACGAAGCCTTTTCTTTGTCCCTATCTGCCCAGGGGCTGACATGGACGTCGGCAACCAGGAGCAGGTGCCCCAGTCAGGCGGTCTCCCAGGCTGGCTCCACAGCTGTGGAGACCTTGAATTCCCCGAATTCTTGGGCGACTCCCTTCCGGAGCCTCCTGAGACTCCCTCAGGCGGCGCTCCGAGAAGACCCTGGCTCGGGATCTGCTAGTTTACCTTATGAGAGCACGCTTGCAGGTAGTAACCAGGCCGGTCCTTGGTCTAAGCAATGGGCAGCCTCACTGCAAAACCGAGACCAGAATCCAGCTCGCGCGTGTGCCGGGGCGCCGAAGGCATGGGCCGGGGCCGGAGAGGACCGAGCCCCGCGCCGCGCTGTCCCTTCCTCGCGGGTCTGGGGCTGGGTCGGCGCACCCGGCGCGTCACTGGGAGTCTGGGGCGCTCGGGCGACGTCTCGGTGTCTCCGTGCGCAGCCCGGGGCCTCTCCGCGTCCTCGGCGGACCCCAGCGGGTCTCCGAGTGGCTCCAGCCTTCCCGCCCCTGAGTCTCCTCACTGCTCCCCGAGGCTGGAGAAATGCCTTCTCCGTTACCTTCTTCCTCCTCCTCCCCGTAAAGCATTGGGCGAGTGGGGGCAGGGTGGCGGAGACCACCCGCCGGGGTCTCCAAGTTCAATGGCGAAGCCCTGCCCCTCCCCCGGCCGGGGCGCGGGCGCTGTCGGCCTTCCTTCCCTACACCTCTCGGAGCTTTTGCAGCCCTCTGTCACCCTCCCATTTGGGGGGTAATTGAGGGGCGGGGAGGGGGTCCCGATGCATTCTTCCTTCGGTCTCCTCTGGCTACTGTGTCCCCCACCCCCTGCAAGAGCGCGCTGGGGGTCGGTCCCCATTGGATGTTTTAAATCCGTCTCTAGGCCCGGGCGCGCCGAGGGGGGGCGGGCGTCCGGGGGATCCCGGGCCCGGGGCGGCTCTAGAGCTTTGTGATCGATGAAAACGTGGCACAAACTCTTCGCCGCTCCTACCCCGGTCGCCGCAGCGCTTTAGGACAAGCCGACGACGGTAACCAGCTCATCTATTTTAATTCATTCGAGACTGGGGCTCTTGAGGTTTCTAGAGACAGGACGGGGTGGGGTGGAGGCACGGAGTCTTCCCCAAAGGAATCCTAATTAAAGTGCAGCACTCAGGACCTTGAATAAAAATGTAATAGAGGGGAGCGCGGAGCTGGAAGCGGGGAGGGGCCTTTGCGTCCGGGGTGGGGGTGGGGAGCCGGGGGCGCCCCAGATCCGAAGAGCCGGCAGCCGGCAGCTAGGGGAAGGGAGGCGGGGCCGACTCTTGATCCACCGCGGCCTCGCGGGCCCTGGGCGGCCGGAAGCGTTTGCGGAGGGACTAAAAGGCCGGGTCGCTCTCTGCATTGCTGCTGCGGGAGTCGAGATCCAGAGTGCTTCCGGCGGTCGCGTTTATGCACCTCGCCACGACTCGCTGCTTTGGGCTGCTGACCCTGTTTCACCCTGTTTCTTGTCGCTTCCCGAAAGCGGCGGGATGAGCTCGTTTGGCTCCGGGAGGGCCAGGTACGGGGGGCCGCTCAGGGGAAGGTTGCGTCTCCTCGGTTCCAAAGCTCCAAACGCGGGCGCTCCGCGGGTGTTCGCCCTGGGCAAAGCCGCCCGAAGCTTGAAGCTTCCGGCTGGGAACAGGCTGTGCAGCCGTCGGTCTTCAACAATGTAAGCAAAAGCTCTCTCCTGTAGCTTACTTCGCCTTTAATTAAAAGGAAACCGCCGCAGGCGAGTGCCCGTAGATAGGTGGATTTTGTTGTCATTTCGACACAAGTGACTTCAATGCGGTGGGTGGAAATATCCTTCACATTGGGAGTAAGGTGGGTGCTTGGAAAAGGATTTAATACAAGATGAAATTTTTTTTTTTTCTCACAAGTTCCATACTTATAAATCAGAAAAAAGTCTGGGGTCCATCGCGAATGAAGTCAAGGAAGAGACAGATGTTATTACTTCCGTGGATCTAAGACCTGGGTCTACGCAGATCGTCACAGCCATGTACTGCCTGTTTTTCCACTGAGATCCTTCGTGCCCTCTTCGTCTTTCTCTTGGGTCTCTCAGAGTCCGGACCGGTACGCGAGCCGACAGCTCTGTCGATACCCAAGCCGAACTGCAGGCGACTCGGGAAATCTCTTGCCAGGAGACCAGAGGCCCCAGGCGGCTGGAAACCTGCACGCTGCGCTGTGGAGAACGAACAAGCCTTGCCGGCGCGGAGGTTTTTCTGAAGTGACGACAATCTGCCGGAAGGGGGCGCGCCTGTCTTCTTAATCATCTGCACACTCTGGCAGCTGAATAAATCGCTAGACCCCCACGTCTTTTGTTTGCTCTGAAATTATTGTGAGCGGAAAAATAGAGGCTTCCGGATCATTTACGTCCCTGGTAGCAGAATGGAGGAGTTAGAGCCCTGGAAATCCAGAGGCCTCTCAGCCCCCAGCTTCCACCTGGGCCATCTCTGGTCATTGAGATGGTAATTCATCGTGTGCCCCGCCCTGTGGAGACCTTCTCCCACCGGTTCTCGCCTCCTTTCCACGTGCGCCATTGACCTCAGATTTACTAGGCAGGGGTCTGCTTGCGTTGTCATCGGCCGGATTGGGGTTTATAGTGATAGAAGAACCTGCAGTGTGGAAAGCCACGCGTGGCTCCTCTCGACGACCATGTAGAAGGCAAAAAGTGGAAGGGAGGCTGGGTCACAGAGCTTGCAAAGACCGCGTCAGTCAGGAGTCGGCTCCCGTCTCCTCTCCCCTGTCCCTACGGTCCCCCTTTCTTTCTCTCACCGCGGCCCCGCTTTCCTAATAAGATGTAGAGGAGTCTGCGCTGCTTTCTTCCTCCTCCTTGCCCGGGAGATCAGCCAGAGCTGGATCCCACCGGCCACACTGGAATCCCGCGCCGTGGCAGGGGGCTCCAGGGTTTCCTAGAGAGCCTGACCCAGATCCCAGAGGGACAGCGCATCCAAGCGGTAGCTGCTGCCCACCACTGCCTCCCCAATCCCGACTTCAGGCCTGTGCCCCACTCGGCCTTGGGGACCCCTGCCCCACCAGGTGGCAGCAAGGTCCAGGTCTCTCCAAGCATGGGGCCCAGGTACAAGGCAGGTGTCAGGAAACCGACTCAGCAGTGGGTAGAGACCCCAGGTCCTCAAGGTGGTGGCTCTGTGGATAGTGGAGCTGCCCCCAGTTGCCAGGGTTTTGGAGGTGTGTCTCCCGTCTAGTGGACACAGAAAACAGTTGGAACCATTCCGTCCTTCATGAACTCCAGGGCTCAGGGTGTGTGGACTGGGCCAGAGAATGGTGAAAGGAAGGGTCGTCTGAGGCCAGGCAGCATCAGCATGGGCCACCCAGGGCTCTTCTAACCGGGCCTGGGTCTTCATGCTTCTGCTGCCCTATGAATTTGATCCATCTCCAACGGGCCTGTTGCACCCCCTGGCCTAAATTCCTCCAGTATCATGGGGAGAAGAGTGGGGACAGCCATTTTCTGGTTTTGCCTCTTGGTGGGCTACAGGGAGGGGAGTCCCTCAGGAATTGGCCTGAGGGTAGGCTAAGCCACTGCTCTGTGGCCTGCTTGTGCCTGGAGGAGCTGCGTCCACAGGACCACAACAGAGCTACTTCCTGGGTTCCCGGACGCCCAGTGAACTACCATGCTTGGGCCAGAACCACTAGGGACAATTAAGGAGAGGTTTTGAGAGTTTGGGAATGAAGGAAAGGTCATCGGTTGTTTTACCCAGACCCTTTCCTGCTCTGGCCGGAATAGATCCGGAGGGGCAGCCCCTGGCTTCACTTCCCCACCGCAGTAAAATCTAAGACCTCGGCATGGGCGCTTCCAACTGGGTATGACCTAGGGCTGGCCAGAGAAAGGGGACACCCACCCCCTGGCACTGTCTGTCCAGCTGTCATCTTAGGGAAATACTGTTGCCTTTTCTCCTGTCCCCAGTTTTCCTTCTGTCTCTAGAATTGGAGGGGGTGAGTGACAGGAATCTAAAGGAAGCAGCCCTTCAAAGGGGTCTCCTTCCAAGTTTATTCACAATCAGCAGCTCAAATCCATGAAAGCAGTTTCTAAAGTGCTCTACCGAGCTCTACACAGACAACATGAGGCTATCTATCACGGCAGCTAGGACTGGGTATCGTGACTATTACCGCTGTAAGGATGAATGATTGACGGAGCGATTCTCCACAGCGAGACTCAGCTCCAAGCGGCCGGTCTCCTGGTACCTACAGGGTGCCCAAGTGCTCCTCCAATAGTCCAGGAGCCAGTGGCCACCTAGGGTGTCAGCTCTGGGTGCTGCTCTGCAGAGTCCTCTGCTGGGGCCTGGCCGGGTCCCAGTGTCCCCAGGACACCCCCACTTCTCCTGCCCCCACCCCCAGCCAGGGAGACCCCTCACGGGGTAGCACTGGTCTTGACCTTGGCGAGAACCTTCTTCTCCTTGACGCGGCGGTTCTGAAACCAGATGGTTATCTGACGCTCGGAGAGGCTGGTAGCCGCCGAGATCTTGCGCCGCTTGTCCTTCGTGATGAACTTGTTAGCCGCGTACTCTCGCTCCAGCTCGCGCAACTGCCCCTTGCTGTAGGGAATGCGCTTCTTGCGGCCGCGACGGAAGGCACAGCCATCCGAAGGGTGCTGTGCGCTGGAGTCTGAGGAGAAGAGAAACCCAGGAAGGGAAAAGCACGCTCAGATCCCCAGGCGCAGACCCAGGCCCTCCGCCCCCACCACCACGGAGGCTACGTCATCCTGCAGGCGCAGCCAGAGCGCACGTGCGGGGCTCCCCCAAAGGAGAGGGGGGCACCCTGGCTTCCCGCTGCCTCTCTGCAGAGCTCATCAATGCCCTCACGCCAGGAGTCTCCAAACACGCCCATCGTGCACAGGCCTCTGCTCAGGACCACATCCGTACACACGCGCATTCTCAGACTCTCCGCCATAGATTCTCCAGGCTTATTCCTTGCAGGGCAAAATGCGATTCTGCACACACTCCTAACACACATGCACACACGCACACTCACAAACACATTGCATGCACGCTGGGCAGCAGAAAACTTACATTTATTTTCCTATGGAATTTGCAAACTTGACTAAGAAAGCAAAGGGTTGTGTCCCCTCTACCACCGTTCCTGCACCCCACACACCCACACCCACACACCCGCCTCACACGCTGAATTGTGTTACTTAGCGCCTGTGCACAGTTGCACTGGGTTGGGCTGGCATAGCTACAGCCAGCACAGAGAGCCAGAGCTGCTCTCCGACATATTGAAAGACTGGTCCCAGGGCCTTGGGAAAGCAAGGGGAGTCCTGGACAGCACCCAGCACAGCCTTGGCGCTGACCCTCTGGGCCCATCCAGGTCCTCTGGCTGGGCTGTCCAGACCCTCATTCCAGTCTAAAAGGCAATGCTGTAACACCAAGCTCCTCCTCAGCGGCCCCAGTCTCCCTCCTCCTCTCCCTCCTCCTCCCAAGCAAGTGCCAGCGTAGCCTCGTTCAGAGCCAAGGGGACCCTGGGTGTAGAGATTACCTGCAAACGCCGCCTTCCAGAAGGGACCCGGTGGGTTCTGCTCACCCTGGCAACACATCTGGCTGTTCCAGCCACCAGCCAGGGCCCAGGGCTGGTAACTGTCCACTGGAAGCAGGGAGTCATGGCGCGGCTCCCCAGGGGCACCCAGGGTCTGCACCACTGACACATCCAGGTAACTGGCCATGGGCTGGTAGGCTCCCGGGTACCCCGGATAGAAGGCAAACTCGGTGGGGCGGCTGGGGTACTCCTCCCCAGCCGCAGGAGTTTCCGAGGGGTAGGCAGCCAAGGTGGCTGCCTGGGCACAGGGTTTCAGCGAGCTCCGGGACACTCGGCAAGAGTAGTACCCGCCTCCAAAGTAGCCGTAAGGCACGGGAGCTGGGGACGCCCCCTGGGGCACCCCAGGACAAGGGTGGCACTGCTTGGGTGGCTCCGCAGAGCCTGGCAGGTCCAGGGGGGCATAGTTGACAGCGGGCATCAGTGTAGGCGCCGCCGGGTGGCTGGCGAGCGGGGAGTGGGCTACCAGATTGCGCGCCCCTCCAGCTCCCAGCAAGCCTTCCATATCCTTGGGCCCGTCCAAGGTGGCATAATTGCCGGGCTCCATGGGGCCGAGGATCGGCTCATGGGGTGCAGGGGGTGGGGGATGGCGGGGGCACCCAGCTAGCTCTCCCCACCCAGGCCCGGGGAATCCAAAGCGTTTTAAATCGCTCCCAGCTCGCAAGGCGCCAGCATTCGCCGGGCCAGGCAGCCCGACGCAGGACACGCAGGGCCCGGCCACGCGTGCTGATTGGCTGCGGCGGGGACAGCAGCTCATAAAACCTCGGCTGCAATCGCGGAGGGAGCGGGGCGAGGAGCCCGCCCCACCTCCGTCGCCTCCTCTCTCTCTCTCTTGTTTCTCCCTCTCTCCCTGTCCCTGGCTCTCTGTCTCCTGCGCTTTGGCAGGTTTAACGAGAGAATAAAAAGCTCTTCCAATAAAGTGTCCATCTCCTGGGGAGGGAGGCCACTCCCGGCCTCCAAGGAGAACCCCGGAATGCGCCCCAAGGAAGTAGCTGGCCAGTAGGGGTGCGGGTGTTTCGGGGAGCCCTGGGCTTTGGGGCGTAGGGGGTGACAGGGCCCCAGCTCCTTCCAGATGCCCTTCTTGACCCTCATACACTGTACTGAGAGGCTCTGGCGCCAGGGTGCCTGAGACACCCTTTCCCCAGGGAGCTTGGCCACTGCCCTGAAGGATCGGAGGCCCCGATCCGGGTGAGGCGGAGCCAAGGGGCAGGGAACCCCTGGAAAACGTGAGATCCGGAGCCCAGGACACGCAATGTCCGGGCTGAAGGGGAAAATGGAGCCTCTCTCTACATGTTGCCCGGGAAAGGGGGGTCTGGGTTTCCGTTTAGGGGTGGAGAGAGAGACACAGGGAGGAAAAGAGGGACCAAGGAGGCGGAGGAAGAGAGAAACACAAAGGGAAGAAGGGAGAGTTGGAAGGAGGCAGGGGACAGAATCTTATAAAATCCTAAGGGCCAGTTGGGAAAGAGAACCCCTCCCCCGCCCAAGATCTCAGGAAGTGTTGGGAAGCCAGGCTCACCTAACTGACCTTGAGGCTGTGGGGTGCTGCACCCCATGATGGCAGGGCTCTGCCCTTCTAGGGGCCAAGAACTTGGGACACTGCCCCAGGTGTCAGCACGTTTCCACCCAAGCAGGGGCACAAAAACCCAGGACCTCCATATCTAAGTTTCTTTAGAAGACAGAGGGGGTGGGGAGGGGAGCCCCAACCCTTCAAAACCCATGAGGGCCTCTTTGAGCCGGGCCTGTCGTGCAGAACAGGTTAGAAGCCTCAGTTTGTTTCATCCATCTGTCATTGGAGACACTCTTTCCCTCACTACCCCTCCCAAAGCAAGGCCTTCCATGTGCTTTTTCTAGAACCTTCCTTTTTCTGCAGAAGGCAGGAACTTTTCCATTCTATGCATCACACCGTCCTGAGCTCTGGATGGGCTTGGCCACAGCCCCCTGCCCACCAACCCGAAGCCAAACTTGAGTCCCTTGCAGGAAAGCACCTGTAAGGGCCAGAGTTGCTCCAGGGTGTAGGGCTGGCATCAGCAGGCAGCGTACACCCCTCCCGGTGAACACGGGCTGATAGTAGACGGTGCCAAGCAGAGAAATTTTGTTAGATTTTCTTGCCATTGAGGACAGCACTAAAGAAGCTGGGAGTAGTGACCTGTGCCTGTAAGCCCAGGCACTTCAGGAGGCTGAGTCAGGAGAATTAACAAATTCCACCCCAGCCTGTGGAACTCAGTGAGACTGTCTCAAAATGAAATAAAAACGGTCGGGGTTGTAGCTCAGCCTACCATGTATGTAGCGTGTAGCTGGGTTCCATCCTAGCATGAAATGGAAGGAAGGAGGGCCGGAGGGAGGGAGGAAGGGAGGGGAAAAGGAAGTAAGGAAAGAAAGGAGAACTTTCACTGTTTTATTTTATCTTATTTTTATTTTATTTATTTGTTTGCTTTTTGAAACAGGGTTCTGTTCTGCAGTTCAAGCTGGCCTTGAGCTCACTTTGTAGCCTAGGGTGGTTTCAAATTCACAGCGATCCTCCTGTTCTGACTCCTGACTGCTGGGGTTACAGGTGTAGCCACTATACCCAGCTTTCACTGTGTTTTGTTTGACAAATGATGGATTCCTAGGACATCTCCTCAGTTTGTTTGATTGATTTTGTCCTTTTTTTGTGGAACCGGGGATTGAACTCAGGCCCTTGTGCTTGCCAAGGAAGTGCTTATTCTACTGAGCCACCTCCCCAGCCCCTATTTTGTCTTTTTGAGACAGGGTTTCACTATGCAGTTCAGGCTGGCCTTGACCTCACTTTGTAGCCTGGGCTGGCCTTGAACTCACAGCAGTCTTCCCGCCTCAACCTCCTGAGTGCTGGGGGTCCAAGGCCCCCCCACATCCCTCTTACCCCCCAGTTTTAGCTTTGACTCAGCTTTGCAAACATATGCAGGCATATACATATGTGTTTGGGGTGGAGCTCCTCTGTGTGCAGCTACTCACAGCTCTACAGTTACAGGCATGGAGAGATTCCCCACACTTTAAAAAATCATAATCATTCATACTCTTAAAAAAGTAACATTCCTGGGGCTGGGGAGATAGCTCAGTTGAATAAGCACTTCCCTGGCAAGTGCAAGGGCCTGAGTTCAATCCCCAGTTCAAAA